GTCGTCGTCGTCGTCGTCGTCGTCGTCGTCGTCGTCGTCGTCGTCGTTGTTGTTGCTGTTGTTCGTGGTGGTGGTGGTGGTTGTGGCCTTTGGTGGTTCGTGTTTGTTCGTGTCTTTACAAAAATTCTTTCGCGTTGTCCCGCGACAACACAAGACTCCCACCATTTCACACGGGATCACAGCACACCCGACACGGGAACCGAAAACACCGGACGCGAAAACCAGAAACACCGGAGACCTAAACGCGCGGAACGCGGGAACCGAAAACACCGGACGCGGGAACCGAAAACATCCGCGCATTTTTTCCCTCTTCAACGCAAGGCGGGAACCGAAAACACCATCACAGGAGCTGAAAACACCCGCGGGCACTGAAAAAACCGAGCCGGGCACCGAAAACACCGCCGCGCGGGAACCAAAAACCCACTTGGGAACCAAAAAAACCGCGGGAACCGAAAACACCAACGCGGGAAGAAAAAACACCGCGGGAACCGAAAACACCAATCCGGGAACCAATAACCCGGAGCCCGTCACCAGGCTTGCATCTGGTAACAGTACCAAGGGAAGATCTTGAGGCTGTTCTTGGCAATCTTTTTGCCACAGCAGCTTGTGGTCACTGGTGTACACCAAGACATTCATGTCCAGCGCCCCTCTCCTCAGTTCAAAGAGAGGTATGTTGTGCATGTACATTTCTGGACCTACACAACGTTGCTTTGTTTTCTATGTGCAGGGGAGTTGCTCCTTGTAGTTCTTCAGGATTCCAGCTTGGACTTCTGCCTTCTCCAACCCCAACTCCCAATCCTTTGACTGTTCCATTTGCAATGAAGCCACCATTGACCGTCCAGCACGGTGGCTGGTTTCTTGTCAGTCTCCCTGAATATGTTCAAGTACTGGTGTGGGACTAGCAGTGTTCTTTGTTGCCATGAATGTCCACCACACCGAACTTCCCATGTGTTGCGCCCGTCTCTTCAAAGACATGGGTTGCCTTCTCACCCTTCTTCAAGTAACAGGCGCCAACTCTGAGCCAAGGGTATTGGAGTTCAGCAATGACCTTTGGGTTGCTTGCCTCCTTGGCACAGCAGAGAAACAATTTGTTTATGCCATTTGCTCAACATAGCAACAGTGCAAGTGCAGGTAAGGAAGCACTTCAAACACAACATGGCATCCCCATCTCGTGCAAGGACAAAACCCTCATGGGATCTTCTCCAGCATTGGGAACATCTGCATGGCTTGCAGAGGGTGCAAGCTCAGGAACATCCAAGCTGGCAAGGTCCACGCCAGCAGTCTTGGCTGCCTTCTCACCAGCATCTTTGTCCATGGCAATGAGCTCACCAATGTAGGCCTTGCTGCTCTCGTCGAGGCTGCCATATTGCTTGCTCTCCCTGCCTTTGCCTTCTTTCTTGGCCAGCAAAGCACACCTGATAATGAGGCGGCCCATGCGCTTCACATGACTGGCGTGGAAAGGCCTTGTGGTGACTTCTGCAAGGTCTCCAAGTTCATCTGTGCCAGCATCTCAGCAGGCATCAACTTGTCCTTGTTGCTGGCAGCCCTTACCCTGTCTATGTCAGAGGGCACCGCGGCACCAACAGCCTAGCAACGCCCTCTTTCTGCTTGGGGCTGCTGATGTTGGCTGCAACTAGGCAAGCCCTGATTAATGGGAAGCAGCTTTCTTTCCTACCAAAATCTGCTCTGGGCACATTGAGGAAGAACTCCTCACCCAATAGCATGGAGCTGCTGAAGCTCTTTTCAATAGTGGCCAACAGCTTGACAATGGGGAAGCCATGTTCAGCACCACCACCATAGTGTGCAACAAAGTGGCCCACAGCATCCAAGTAGCTCAAATCGCTGTATGCTCTGCGCATTTGCAGTGATTGCTCCAGGTTGTTGGTTCTTTTGAAGTTCATGCCAATGGCCATTGCCAGCTCCATCTCTGTCATCCTGCCAGCAATGTGGCTACTGCTGTTCAAGCTGGCCTGCAGGAATTGTGGGAGCCAAGGCAAAGTAGTTTCCACAGCGCTGGAAATGATTTTCCATGGCCAGCCAACCTGCACTGCTTTGTGAAAAGCAGGGTCTTTGGTGTCTGCCAAAGACAGAACCCTCCCAGTCTCATCCACAAAGTTGCTTTGCAAAATTGGCTCATGTGACTGCTGCTGACGCTCAGAGATTTCTCTTTCCCACTGAGTCCAGCTAACCTTCCTTCTGAGGCTTCTCTCAGCAGCTGCGTCGGTGCCAGCTGCTTTTGTTTCTCCAACACATTTGGGCTCACCTCGAGGCAATAACTCTCTGTCAGTTTCTCAGCTGACCAGCCAACTTTGAGTGCCATTTGGCTGTTCAAGTGAACGTCATAAGGAGTTCACCAGCACTCCACTCCTGTTGTCAGGGTGGACCACTAGCTGATGGGCTGCCAACGCCTGCTCATGAAGATGTCCCTCCATCTGGTTGAAATTTACAGGTGTAGACAGAAAAAAAGCAAAACCTTTAAAACCACAATGTTCCATTCACCGTCGCACTTATGCTACTTATTTTGTAAGGTCCATAACGAGCGTAAGTAGACTTACGCCACTTATAAGTATAAGTACCACAACATAACTTATAAGTATATAAAGATACAAATATCATATGGTAGAACCTTTTGCGGCCCCCCAGCTGGCCAGAGTGAAGCTCATAGAGAGCGCTACAGTCAAACCCAACAAAGACTGAGTGTTGTTCTGGTTTCGAAGCCTGGCGCGCGTGTATTTTCATTGCGATGGGTAGCTGCTGCCGTGTCCCAGTTGGAAACTGATAGCCTGCAGGATGAAAAGGGAACAAGGCAGTTATCGTTATGTCATGTTATGTTGCAGACTCAATCAAGAATTACGTCTGAAGGGCTTGTTCTTTTTCAGCGCCCGCAAGTGGTTGCCATGGCGTGTGCCCGTGGTTGCCATGGCATCGCCGCCTTTTTGCTCGTCAGTCTGACCGTTGGGCTGCTGACCCTCGCAAAAAATCTCAGCCATCCGAAGATGCCCAAAAGCGCAGGCCCACGCAGTGACAGACGACTGACTTCCAAGAGTGCAATTGAAGCAGAGACAGTGCCCTCAACCAGCAATCATGTGATGGCGCAGGATCAGAGCGTTTCGACAATGCACCGACGTTTGACTACAGTCGAAGTGAACACCCTTTATTCAAACTATGGTGCTTTCGCTGCAAAGATGTCGGACGGCAGTGTCGTAACTTGGGGTGATTCGTCCTATGGTGGTGACTCAAGTTCTGTGACTAGCCAGCTGGAAGCAGGTGTTGAGTTGGTTTACTCAACTTGGTATGCCTTTGCTGCAGTCAAGTCGGATGGCAGTGTTGTGACTTGGGGGCATTCGTCCTACGGTGGTGACTCAAGTTCTGTGACTGCCGAGCTGGCGTCGGGTGTTGCGGTGATCCATTCGACTAGAACTGCCTTTGCTGCAATCAGGTCGGATGGCAGTGTTGTGACTTGGGGGCATTCGTCCTATGGTGGTGACTCAAGTTCTGTGACTGCTGAGCTGGCGTCCGGTGTTGTGGAGATCTATTCTGGCAACGAAGTCTTCGCAGCCAAAAAGGCGGACGGCAGTGTGGTGACTTGGGGTGAGTCCTCCTATGGTGGTGACTCAAGTTCTGTGACCAGCGAGCTGGCGTCAGGTGTTGAGAAGATCTTCTCTAATAGTTTTGCTTTCGCTGCAATCAAGTCGGACGGCAGTGTCGTGACTTGGGGTTATGCATCCTATGGCGGTGACTCAAGTTCCGTGACTAGCAAGCTGGCGTCAGGTGTTGTGGAGATCCGTTCTACTGACGCCGCCTTCACAGCCAAAAAGTCGGACGGCAGTGTCGTGACTTGGGGTTATTCATCCCATGGTGGTGACTCAAGTTCCGTGACAAGCCAGCTGACGTCCGGTGTTGTTGAGATCTATTCCGACACCTCTGCCTTTGCTGCAATCAAGTCGGATGGCAGCGTCGTAACATGGGGTGATTCGTCCCATGGTGGTGACTCAAGTTCTGTGACTGCTGAGCTGGCATCAGATGTTGAGACGATCTATTCGGCTTGGTACGCCTTTGCTGCAGTCAAGTCGGATGGCAGTGTTGTGACTTGGGGTGATTCGTCCTATGGTGGTGACTCAAGTTCTGTGACTAGCGAGCTGGCGTCGGGTGTTGCGGAGATCCATTCGACTAGGAACGCCTTTGCTGCAAGAAAATCGGACGGCAGTGTCGTGACTTGGGGTCTCTCGGCCTTTGGTGGTGACTCAAGTTCAGTGAGCAGTGAACTCGGATGGGGCGTTGTGGAGATCTATTCGACACTCTTTGCTTTTGCTGCAATCAAGTCGGATGGAGGTGTCATTTCGTGGGGTTCTGCGGCCAACGGCGGCGATTCCAGCGCAGTAGTATGGGGCACTATTACAACTTCGTCGGCAGCTGCAACCTCAGCCTGGACAGACTTGCAAACTTTGGGACCTTCAGTCATTTACGTATTAAACCATAGCCATCATTTAATCAGACAAACAGATTTTGTCGTGAAGTCAAAAGCTTGCATTGATCTCCAGATGTCTGACGAGCTTTACAAGGGGAGTCAGGACCCACGCTGTTTTTTGCAAAAAGCAAAAGCGAAAACACCTTGGTTTATGAAAAAGGAATGGTATATTATAGAAATGATTGTAGGTGCAATATTGCTGATTTTTCTCTGTGGCCCTGTGGTTTGCAACTCTTCCGAGGCATCCACCGAGGCACGCTGCGGACGAACGACAGATTAGACGAAGGTCACTGCCAAGCAGACTGTTCTATTGCGTCCCAAGCCCATTTCGTTTGCTGGCCGCGCCCAGGTCAAATGTTGTGTATGCAAGTGTGCGCTTCAAACAAACCTTGATTTAATGGGGTCACACTGTGCGGGCATTGTTTTTGCAGGGAACATGAAACGTAGCCCTGTGGCGGACGATAAGCGGGCATGGGCCGGTCCATGACAGCGACCAGCGACTTGTTGGAGTACTCATGTCCTGCGAAGCGTATTTTTCAAAACATCCACAAACGGTGGGTCTGAGATAGGCACCCGTGGAGAATTACATGTAGCCGGGCAGGTTTTGCGATAGCTTTACATGCCAGAGGGTTGCTTCTGCACCGCTTCCTTATCGGGGAGGCATTTTTTGATCCTACTGAACCCTACTCTATGAAATCATTTGCTCCGTGTGAGGGACCACACCTTGTCAAGCAAACAGGTTACATCGAACTAGCCCCTGCAGGGAGCTGCTAAAGTCAAACCTTTTGCTCAGCATTTGTGAGAATCCCAGGAGGAGCACTTTTCACCAAGAAGCATGCCTTCTGAAAGATCTTCAGGGAACTGGATTGGTCCAACCCAAGCATGGTAAATGAATTCTAATGTAAGTGTTGCGTTTAAGTTGTGTTTTGCCCTGTTAAAAGCTACTCACTGTTAGGTGATTCTTTGGCTCGAGTCGACTTTTTGAATTTTAATGTTGTCTTGTCTTGGTGTCCATAGTAATCTCGACAACGTCTTGACCTGACGTCCAAATCGTTGTCAAGCTTAGGAGGGTCTTCGGTCTGGGACAATTTGGCGCGGTTAGTTTACGTCGTATCCTTGTTGAAAGTCGTGTTTTTCATGCGTGCGTGTAGCGATTGGCAAGTGTTTACAGTTGCGCCACGATGTCGTTGACCTTGTTTTCCGTCACTTGTTCCAGGTGTGCGCAATGTTTCTTTCGCACGGTTTCCCCTTGCCTTTGCTGGATACTTGTGTGGCGTGAAGGTGGCAAAAGTAGTAGTACTAGTACTAGCGCGAGTAGTAGTCGTCGTCGTCGTCGTGATAGTAGTAGTAGTAGTAGTAGTGGTAGTAGTAGTAGTAGTAGTAAAGTAGTATAGTTAGTCGTAATTAGTAGTAATTACCTCTAAGACCAGATTAGACTATTTTCTAACTATTAGTCTATTTCAATAATTCTAACTAATAGTTAGAATTCAAATAAACAAATAGTATAAACTAGGGGATAATTTAAAGTCTATTTTGTTGAATAGACTCAAGTCTATTTTGCTAAACAACCTTGGAATGTCAAGATTATGTTGGAAAAACCTGAGATCTTGTAAAGACATGTTGTTAGTTCATTTTAGGTGTTTGTGGTCACACTTTTGAAAAACACAAACTTGAGCAATGTGTGTGGCCCAAGTAACATTGAGCAGAGCCTAAGTAACATGGCCTAGGTAACCGTACATGGCCTAAGTAACATGCAAATTTTCTTTCAAACTCACATCGCAAAGCATTTTTGGTGTCAAGTGTTGTGGAAGGCTCACAAGCTTCCAGAGGATCAGCAAGACCGACAAAAGGGTAGATGTTGTAGTTTCGTGAAGAAACAAGTTTTGTCTATGTTTGTCCTAACTAGCATCGCACACATCTCCTTTCTTTGCTTTGAGCACCTGTAGCACACGTGGCCGTCTCTAAGGGAATGAAGGTGGACCCTTCCAGTGGTGTGATGGACCTGCAAAGAGTGCTGCCAAAGGAAATGAACAGAGGAGCTGACAAAGATCTGTTTTCTTGTTTGAAGCATCCTACCAATGCTCAGTGGAGTTGGAAGACAAGTTCTTGTCCTCAATGGATGGCTCAATGTCATGAAATGTTGGTGTATTTCTTGAAGATTGCACCAAATGGGCTACTATAGGTCAGCCAAAGTTAAGCTAGCACTACAGAGGATGATCCAAGACTGTTCAAAAATGGTCAACAAAACACACTTCCATACAGCTGACTTTGTGGACCAGGTAGATCATTTTGCTTGCACAAGCCAGAGGCATCAAGAAGAACCATGAAGCTTACGCAACAGCAATGAGGAAGGCCACCTTCGATTCCAAAGAGAAGGTTGACACCATTTTGGAACACCTGCAGTTGGACGGAGCTGATGACAGTACTCCTTCGACAGTACTCGCTCCACAGCTGATGACAGTACTCCTTGCATTTGACTTCACCAAATAGGTCAATATTACGTATACAAGCCCAAACAATATCTCAATAAATATATGGAAATATTGCATTTTAAAAAGTCAAATTCCACTATGACACCAAAGTGACACAAAAGTGACACTAATAGTGCCACTTTTTTTGAAACTGCAACTTGTGTCACATTTTGTGTGTGTGCGTCACTTTTGTCGCTTTTGTGCCGCTTTGGTGTCACTTTTGTGTCTCTTTTGTGTCGCTTTTGTGTCGCTTTTGTGTGTGTGCGTCACTTTTGTCGCTTTTGCGCCGCTTTTGTGTCACTTTTGTGTCTCTTTTGTCGCTTTTGTGTCACTTTTGTCTTACTTTTGTGGCACTTTTGTGTCGCTTTTGTGTCGCTTTTGTGTCAGTTTTGTGTCAGTTTTGTGTCACTTTTGCGTCGCTTTTGTGTCACTTTTGTGTGTCTTTTGTGACACTTTTGTGTCAGTGTTCAGTACTTTTATGTCAGTGTTATAATATGTTTCATGTTTTGCTTACGTCTTTTGTGATTTTGTTCGTTAAGTTCGTGTAGGTTAGTTGAATTTGAAATGGCTAAATGAAAAACTAGGCAACTACATGCACAGTAGTATGAGTCCACTGTGGTTATCTATCTTGAAGCATTTGGCAACTTGTATTATGTTTGTTGTGTTGTCTTTTGTGGCTCCAGAGTTGCTTTGTTGCAACAAAGTGTTCTTGTGCATATGACAGTAAAAATATGTAAAAATAAGCAGCGCAAAGTAAAGGACACAAAACAAACCGACGCAACGAAAGACAAAACGTGACATAGAACAACTCAAACATAAAAGTGAATCTAGGTAGCATTCAGTGGGGGTCTAAGTAGCACTTGGTGACCAGCCACGGCTTCACCAAACAAGAGGGAAGCAGCTACAGAAGAAGCAGCTACCCCTGCCAAAAGTGCACGGCAGGCTTTGGCACCTACGACACCCATGAAAAGGCCAGCAGTATCAGTCAAGCCTCATGCAAAAAGCAAGGCAAAAGCACCACAGCCAAAGGCGAAGCCAACCATAGAGAAGAAGAAGGAGAAGGAACAGAAGGCAAAAGCCAAGAGTAAGCCCAAAGCAGTTCCAAAAAAGCATGAAAAGGACAGCTTTTCAGACAAAGTGCAGAAGTGGAAGCTGAAGGAAGACCACAAAGGTGATGAGCCAGAATCAGATGATGCTGGTGAAAGTGGTAAAGGCGATGCAACAGTAGCAGCAAAGAGGGACTTGTCTAAGACAAGAAAATACAAGAGGTTGTCCGATGCAAATGCAATTCACCAACACAACTCAGAACATGCACATGGCCTCAGTAACAGTACATGGCCTATGATAAGTAACATGCACGTTTGTTTTTCACAATATAACACCACAAGTTTAGGTATATAGTTTGTATTTCCTGATGTTATTCTATAGAATAACCTCAAGGTTATGTTTCAAAATAGACTATTTCTCAGTCTAAATCAAGACTATTTCTCAGTCTAAATTCAAGTCTATTTAAAATAGACTAATAGTTAGAAAATAATCTAGAAAAGCTGTTCTAACTATTAGTTAGGAAATAGTCTAATCTGGTCTTAGAGGTAGTAGTGTTAGTAGTAGTAGTAGTAGTAGTAGTAGTAGTAGTAGTGGTAGTGTAGTAGTAGTAGTAGTAGTAAAAGTAGTAGTAGTAGTAGTACTAGTAGTAGTAGTAGTAGTAGTACTAGTAGTAGTAGTAGTAGTAGTAGTAGTGGTCGTAGTAGTAGTAGTAGTAATAATTAGTAGTAGTAGTAGTGATTTGTAATAGTATATAGTAGTAGTAGTAGTAGTAGTAGTAGTAGTGGTAGTAGTGGTAGTGGTAGTGGTAGTGGTAGTGGTAGTAGTAGTAGTCGTAGTAGTAGCCGTAGTACAGTAGTAGTAGTAGTAGTAGTAGTAGTAGTAGTAGTAGTAGTAGTGGTAGTGGTAGTGGTAGTGGTAGTGGTAGTAGTAGTAGTAGTCGTGGTGGTGGTGGTGGTAGTCGTAGTGGTCGTAGTAGTAGTAGTAGTAGTAGTAGTAGTAGTAGTAGTAGTAGTAGT